TATTTGGTTCTATTCATATTCTCCTTCTTTTATAGCTAATTTTTTTGTCCCATTGCTGTATTTAACATTCACTCGAGGCGTCGTTGCAGGACCCTTGCACGATTTCTCACTGTATTCGGATCAGTATACACGTTCACTTTAGGGAACTCTTAGATGTTAACTAGATATTAATTCAGCGATGATTTTGCTATTTTCTTACTGGCTATAGTCTACTAACAATCTGCCATTTTTATTTGGACTTTGGACAGAACCTGGTGTTAATAATGAATATTGAACTACATAGCAAAATTGAACATATGTTTATTATTATTTGCTTGATGTTTTTGACAGAGTGTAAACTTAAAATTCGCCGCTAAGTGAATTCTAAGAGGTGAATAAAAAGAACTATTTTATAGGATCATATTATAAGCTTTCGGATCCAAAAACAGACAACGAACAAAAAATGACCAAAATTGAAATAGTCATCAATAATTTTTGTTTAGATGACAAGTTTTTGGCTTTGCCGTAAGTGTATATTTTTCTGACTTGCTATTACATTTTTATTACCGCCTTGCTTATGTGAGGTTATCTCTTCATTCAAGTGCCAGGATGGGAGGAAACTTGTTTGTGCACCATGATACTCGCCTTGTTCTATTCACCTTCGGTTGTCTTTGTGGTACAGCTCTCGAAGGAAAAAAATGTGGAGAAATCTACTGGCCGAGCTTTTGTGCCTAGCATCGAAGATTAATTGTCCACTAATGATTGCAGTATGAATTACATACATATGCTTGAGAAATGATTATTTCTGTTTGTTTCTACAACACTTCTTAAGTTTATCTTACTTCTTCCATCAGGTTTTGAGTCTGTTCTCTTTCATTAGGACGCTGTGAACGATGTACTAGTGCAGAAATTTCCTTGGCATATTTCGGTAAATATAATGAAATGTGGTTCTTGAAGACGTTGGAGAAGGATGTGAGGTGGATGAAGAACAGAAGACTGGTTGTGAATTCGGGCTTGCTTCAGAGGTCCTCTTTGGTATCATGGAATTTATTAAGACAGAAAAAGGTGATTCTCTTTTAAATGAAATCCGCAGAGGGTCCAATCTTCGACTGGAAGACTTCAGACCTCCAAACCCCACTCCCAAATCAAAGAAGCTGGATGCATTTCTGTAAAAGAGAAGGCATTCAAGCTTATAGGTTCCCTAAGGTACATTATCTATAAAAGCATTTTATTTATTAGATTCCTCATAGTTATAAGTTTTTGGCTTTCTCTTGTTTTGGGCTTATGTTGATATCCATTGATGAAAAGCTTATATGATGATGAAAATGCTTCAGTTCGAAGTAGAGACAGTGGAGGCCTTTGTAATTATGAGGAACAGTAAAAATATTTTGCTAATTTTATAGAGATGATAATTCTATAGATTAGAGATGTTCACATAATCATAGTTAAGGAGCGTTGACTCCTCCCATTGCTATAACTAAGCCTGCTACTGTTGACAAAAAAAAAAAAAAAAAAAAAAGCTCTTCCTACTTCAATTATAAATTTCTGTTATAGACCAAAAATACTGTTGCTACCATTCTTTCTATTCCAGAAGTCAATAAATGTGGAGCTTCACTCTATGCGAATGGTATATGCTTAAACAATGTTTGGTATTGAATACTGTGACTTGTTTTTACATAAACGATAGCAACAAAAATGCTTGTGAAAATGTTCTGTGATTATTTAAGGCTTTGTTTGGGATGGATTTCTTCCTGTTTTTTGAAGCAATTTTTTAGTACAAATTTTTTTAGTTTTAGAATTTTTTTGTATTAAAAGTTGCTTTAGAAAACAATACGAATGCCATTGTTTTTTTCGTGCTTTTAAGATATTTTTTACTAAAAATCAGGTTTATAAAACAGTCAGAAAGCCATCTCAAATGAAGCCTAAGGCTCCGTTTGGGATGACTTTCATATTGCTTCTTAAAGCGGCTTTCTTGTACAAAATTAAAATTTATGTACTAAAAAGATACTTTAAGAAGCAGTAAAGTCGTCCCAAGTAAAGCCTAAGCATTTATTTGGGATAACTTTTTTAATGTTTTATAAATCATTTTTTAGTATAAAAAATTTTTAAATTTTTTATACTAAAAAATTATTTAAAAATAATAATAAGAAAGCTGTTCCAAATGCAACCTAAAGCTTATGATGGAAAAAAAAAGAGCTAAGTGTCAGAAAATACTGCTTGAAATTACAAACTCATATATTTATTGGGATATTCTCGGCCTGATGAGAACATTAGAATTTTATAAGCAGGTCGTTATTATTCTATTAAAAAAATGTAAGAATATATGTCAACAAATTTTTTATCATTTATCCATTTTTGAATGATTTAAATTAATTTGAACTGAATAATACTATTTCTTTTCATTCATAATGTCATATTTAATTATCGAGTATCTGTTTTAAATCTCACAAATTCAAAAATACGATTGAATGATATGAGTTGCATGAGCAAATATTTTTAATTTTAAAGCAATTAAATTTAAATAATATTTTGAGTTGTTTATGATATTAATATTGAATTTGATATTTTAATAGTGGATTTACATACATAACACTCAAAATTTTTTTATTTTCATATTTAATAATTGAATTTCATTATTCCCATAATATATTATATTTGTTATATCTGTTATTAAATTTCTAAACAAGGATGATGACTAGCAAGTTGCCATTGCAACGGGATCTCACTAGGAAGGGTTTTGACATTAATATTTATCTTTTAATTCAATCAAGGTCTTCATAAATAATAATATTAAGGCTTAAGCCTTTCATCATAGTCTCTGGGACATGATGCTCTAAGCCTCTAATGATGATGACGTCAAGTCCTTGTTTAACTCTCTAGCCTTCAATCAACTGGAAGATCGAAGTACCTTCAATGACATTTATGCTCCTCCTTTTTCATCTGTAAGCTAGAAATTTATCAAATTGATTTTAACTTAAAAAAAAAATTCAAATTGATTTCAACTCTTATTTACATTTAAGCTCAATTAATACTTGAAGAGGTGGACAATCTCTCTCAGGATAATTTTAATTTTGATGTATGCAAATATTTTATTGCATTCACAGTAATTTATCTATTGTAATTATATTTTTTTTATGACATAGTAATAACAATTTTAAATTTTGATGCAAAATTTTCAATTCATCATCTCTTACCTTTTAAGTGTAATATGAATTGTTATATTAATAATAAACAAAGCATAACCCACCGTGGCTTAGCTCGGTTGGTGGGCGTGCTCGGTTGGAAACATGCCATCCCGAGTTCAATTCCCTCAAGCGGCTGTCACCCTTAAGTGGGGCCCCTAAGCACCGACTGCGGGTACTGTAGGCGTAGGTGGCCTTATAGGTCGGTCGGGGTTTACGGATTGCCAAGCGTGCTCGACAAAACCCGAGTGTGACAGCAAACGCTCGTCATTAAAAATAAATAAATAAATAAACAAAGCATAGGCCAAAGTGTTGGCCCGTGTAAATTGATGTGGGTTGCATGCTAGGTCGACCGAGATTTATACTGACTTAAAAATAGTGCTTCCTCGTCACAAAGAAAAAAAAAAAACATAGGCCAAAGTGATTAATTCATTAGCTAAAGTTACACAGACGTCACTAAAGCCTAAGCTGTCCGTCAAATTTAAAAGGGATTCGTATCCCCGCACAGAGAGAGAGAAAGAGACAGGGGATGTCTATTTAAGGCCGAGGTTGCCGGAATTCAAATTAGCCAAATTACTTAGAATAGAATCCGTCGGAGAATTCGGCGACGCTAAAGTAGGTTCAAGGAGGCCAAATGCGATCTCCTCTCTCCTCCTCCCCTTTTCCTCGTCCTTCTCCTTCTTGTTCTCCTTTTCCTCTTTCTTCTTCTTCTCCTCCTCTAAGTGTTCAACGTCAAGGACGAGCAGCAGTTATTACTCAATACCCCTTGCAGGGGCCGCCGATTTCGGTAATACGGCATTTGTGATAATTCGCACGCGCATTTTTCAATTAAAGCTTCTTGATCGGATTCATGCATTTCATCGGTTCGTTCTTCTCAATTTTGCTTGATTGAGTTCTGTTCGTAATTTCTTGAGCCAGGAATTAGGGATTTGTAAGTTGAATTTTCAGGGCATGTTGGAGAGATGGAGGAAATAATGAGGATGCAATATAATTGAGAGTTGGTTTGTTGGATGATCTAAGAAGGAGATCGCTCTTAGTAAAATGGTAGAAATAGGCAATGAAGGCGGCATTAATATTTTTATTCGTCAATTCATCTTAGCCATTTATTATTCTAAATTTTATATTGGATGTCTTGGATTGCGATGTTTTTTGAAGAATGACACAAACTAGGATTGAGAATATTCTTTGATTCCACTATAGGTCCATGTCCATTATCATTAGCATGATAGTTTTCATCACCAGCGTCTTCAACCTTACCCAACAATTCATTCCTATTAATTGTGTCTGGTAAAACAGATAGAACCAAAGATTCGTAAAGCAGATACCAGAACTTTATCATCACTGTTTGTGCGTTGGGTTTCTGATCAATAAGTGAAACGAGCTGAATTTAAAAAGGAATATGAAGGTTTAAAAATGGATTTCTATTGGATTTAAATGTTATCATGTCCATTGGGTTTCTGATCAATAAGTTGAGAGTTGCAAAAATTTAAACGGGAAGAATAGCAGATAGAAGCCATTCGAAAGAATAATACTAAGTAATTGAGCTTTCAACATTTCCAACCTGAAGGTGTAAATCACCTCAGCCGGCCAGATTCAATCTTATGTGTCGGTTGAACCAGGCCAATACTCTCATTGACCAGTAAAATGCCATTAAATTACTTTAGGCAGACCTGACCGAGCGAAAATACAGCTTCAGCAAGCAAAACCAATACAATTTGTGGAGTCTGGCTTGGGTATCTGTCCATTCATAACTAAATTAATTTGACTAGTCCACACTCAACCACGCCTACCTTTTGCCCGCGTCTAGTTGAGAGGATGAGGATAGTTGTTCTTGCAGTGATGGCAGTGATTAAGAAAAATATGAAGGCATTAAGGGGCAATTTGCTGCAATTTGCTTTACTACTTTACATGACAATTTTATCTAAATAAGACTAATTTTCCTACATAAGATTAGGTTGTCAGTCAGTATCTATGGATTCCAGTCTGCCCCTTGAAAAACATTATAATTTTGCATGCTATTTTACCCAAATAAATTCGTCAACAAAGGATGTGTGAACTGTATATCCTGATGTTCTTGGCGGAGGATCGAAATTCACGTTTTCTTGCTTCGGTTTTTCATGTATTGCATTTGTTTCTCAGACGCCCCCTTATTACTACTACATTTTTTTTTGGATGATTTGCCGACTTTGATCTTTTTTGCAAGTTGGAACTTGTAAATTCTTGTTAATTTTGTTGGAGCTTAAAATAACTCATATAGTTTGGCAAGCGATCAGTGCTTTCATGGATGTATTTTCTAGCATCTGAGTATGTCTATTATGTAGGTTAGTTCCATGATGGAGAAAGGTAAACGTGGTCCTCTTCTGCAAAATGATATAGATTGCAGTTCTCTTTTAGATGAACTTCAGGTCAGCCCTAAGTTGCTGCAGACTTGTTTTTCATTTATTTATGTTCCGTCTCTGATGAAAGAGAAACATTATTAGGTGCGGTGTTCGAACTCGTCCAGAGGTGAATCCATACGCGCCATGTCACCTGGAGCCAGTGCACCGGGTGACATGGCGCGTCCGGATTTGCCTTCGGACACGTTCGGACGCTGCACAGAATAATCTCTCGATGAAAGCACAACCTCTGTTTTTTTTTCAATTTTTTAATTATAACTTATTGCAGACTATATGGGATGATATTGGAGAATCAGATGTTGAAAAGGATGTGATGTTACTCCAACTAGAGAAAGAGTGCCTAGATTTATATAGAAGAAAGGTTGACCAAGCAAACAGGCACAGAGCTCAGCTTCGGCAAACTATTGCAGATTCTGAAGCAGAGATTGCAACTTTATGCTCTGCGATGGGTGAGAGGCCAGTTCATTTTAGACAGGTTGGTCCATGCTAAGTAATCCGTTTTATGCTTGTAAATATCTTGTGATATGTTTTTCTTTGATAAGTTAATTAAGTCTTAAGTTTTAATTATGGTTTCCTCTGCTATGTTGCTCAGTTGTAAAGAGAAATCTTGCATGTTGTCTTGTTTTGCCTTTTTCTAGAATTTTTTAGTCTCTTGAGAGATTTTCAGTAGCAAAAGTTTTTGCTTTGTTGTTAGAGTATTCATGAGTATTGCTTTAATTATATCTTTCAAGTAGAAAGAATCTGGCCACAAACAACATTTCCTCAGTTCTTAGTCTGGGGCGGAACCAACCAAAATTTTCAGAGGGGGCAAACTTGTAAGTAACTGTTGGCAGATATGTCAGAGGTCCAAGAAGACAGCGCCCCATGGCGGGGTTCGACCTAAAATTTTGATTTACTATTTCTCTTTGTATTTTATTCATCGTTCCCTAACAATAGCACTTATACACAATGTGTTTAATTATTCTTGGTGCAATTGCCTAAAAATCATAGTATTTTAAAACTTTTAGGGGAGGCAATTGCCTAAAAATCTTTATAATAAAGACTAAAAATTAGATTAAAGAGGATAAATTATCTAAAGAATCCTATAATAAAAATAAATAAAAAAATTTGTGGGCGTAGGCGGGGGAGCAAATACATGAATGATTGTTGACAACATGCAGATTTCTCCGGGCTCATAGGGGTTCCGCCCCTGTTCTTAGTGACAATAACACGTGTATGGTCTTATGTATTTCTTACGATGAAATTGCTGCCAGGGTGACAGAAGCTTGAAAGAAGAGCATAAGGTCATCATTCAGCAACTAGAAGATTTGCGAAGAAGAAAGAATGAAAGATTGAGTCAATTTCGTAAAGTAAGGGAGCAAATACTGTGCGTCTCAACCGAGATTAATCCTGAACCTGGCCTTGAGATAGTTCTTGATGAATCTGATTTGTCCATAAGAAATCTACAAGATCTTCACAGACGCTTAGATGCACTCCATAAAGAGAAGGTAGTATTTTCTCTACTCACAATAGCCTTCGCATTGCTACAATCATGAAGAATCTGTATTATTTTCTTTCGTTTTTATACAGAATGACCGCCTAAGGAAGGTGCTGCACCACTTGAATACGTTGAACTCTTTATGTTCAGTGCTAGATGTAGATTTCAAACAGACAGCCAGTGAAGTTCATCGTAGTTTAGTTGGACCCGATGAGTCAAAAAATGTCTATAGTGATACAATTGAGAGGCTCATAAGTACCACGCAGAGACTGCGGGAAGTGAAGTTACAACGAATGCGCATGGTAATTGCTATTTCCATCAAATTATTAGGCATTTCTTCTCATTACCTGCTTAAAATAATAGCCATGGCAGCTTCAAGATCTGGCAACCGCAATGCTGGAGCTTTGGTATTTGATGGATACTCCAACTGAAGAGCAGCAGCAGTTTCAAAATTTAACATGTAATATTGCTGCTTCAGAGCATGAAATAACAGAACCAAAGTCGCTTTCAATGGGATTCATCAATTATGTGAGTCTTTAATTATCAAATACTTATTATCTAGACTTCAATTTTGTAATTATATTATAGCAAGTATAGAATATCCTTTCTTGTGAAGGTGAAAGCCGAAGTTACACGACTTGAAGCGCTGAAAGCGAGCAAGTTGAAGGACTTGATTTTGAAAAAGAAGATTGAGCTGGATGAGCTGTGCCGACGCACACATCTTGTTGCAGAAAATGACTGTTTTGCTGGTATTGAGGCTTCATTTGAAATAATTTTTTTATTGCTTACTTTTTAGTACTAAAAAGATGCTTTAAGAATAAATAATAAAGCTGTTCAAAACAAAGCCTAAGACTGATGCACAAATATTGAGGCTTCGTTTGGGATGGCTTACTTATTGCTTCTTAAAGCAATTTAAAAAAAAAAATTAAAAATTTTGTACCAGAAAGGGGCTTTGAGAAATAGTAATAAAGCCGTCCCAATCCAAGCTTGAATTTGAACTAAAAATGTTCTTTTATAAGATAATTGCTTTTCACTGAACTCTCCCGTTGCAGAATCTCTTGATTCCTCCCTAGTTTTGGAACAGATCGAGGCTCAAATTTCAATTCTGAAAGAGGAAGCCTTCAGCAGGAAGGAGATTCTTGAAAGGGTTGAGAAATGGTTTGCTGCTTGTGAGGAAGAGTCCTGGCTTGAAGATTATAACAGGGTTCTATTTCTCTTCCACTCTGGTTATGCTTTCTTACTCACTTTTGGTGATTACTTACTAATTGATTTAGGTTTACCAGGATGAAAATCGTTATAACGCCGGAAAAGGAACTCACCTTATGCTCAAGCGCGCTGAAAAAGCCCGTGCAGTTGTCAGCAAAATTCCAGGTTACTATTGGGGATATTCATTATTTATCAGAGGCGTAAATTTTTAATTTGAAAAATACTCACAATTTTTTTTTATACCATCAAGTTTTTTCATTCTAAGCTTGAAATTAACATTAAGGTTTTAATTTTTTTAAAATATCTAACTTAAAATTTTTATATTTAATTAAATTAAAATATAATTAAAAATATTTTATAATGAGCAATAAATATATTAAA